TTAATAGTAAATTTATATATTTTTATTATAATTTTTATTATAATTTATTACTCAGTATGATATTTTCCCTAACTAGTATTTGAATAGTGCTATTTAACACATCAAATTTTTTAAAATACAGCTACCTTGATCTTAATAACTACTAAAATAGTAAGTTCAATAATAAAACTTTTTAAGTTTTTCATAACAGAAATATAATAATTTAATGTAAACTAACTTAGTCTTAACTATATATTATTGCTATTAGGATAACAATTATGTTTATTTGCAGTAATTCATAATAAAAATCAGGATGATTTCAATTCAAACTAATTTGATTTTAATAATATACTGTAATCACTGGACTAGCAAGTTTTGTAAAAGTTTTTACAGTATCTTTGAGAAGAAATCATGATAATTCAATTTAATCAACTATTATATGTATCAAATTAGCAAGTTCTATAGAGTTACAGTAAATCATGTAGTAATTATGATATTTCAACTCAACGATAACCATTGTGTATAACTATATTAATAAGTCATAATAGAAATCAGATAATTCTAATACAAATAATTAAATTTTATCTATATACTGTAATCACTAAATTTTATATAGCAACTTTAGTAAGTTCTGTAACAGAATTTTTTACAGCAAATACCAGTAGAAATTATGATAAATTACATATTAATGACAAGACTAGGGTTTTGCATACCTGGCATGTGCCCTGTGCGCGGTATTTTAGTTCTTGGCATTTTGTGCCCATAACTATTCCCAGTTCGTGCCATAAAGTTTTTGTCGGCACTTTTGTGCCCATAGGCACTCAGAGGCACAATTACTTGTCATAAAAATGATCCAAACTTATGTAAAGACGATTTTATATCTTCTTGGGCATGGCACAAAAGTGCCGGCCTAAAATTGCCTGGTGCCTTTGTGCTCATAGGCATTGGCACAACACAAGGCACTGGCGCCTGGCATGGTGCCTATGTGCCGGCATAGGCATTTGCAGACTCCTATTTAAAATCTTAAATTTAAGCTTTAAATTTAATGTTAATTACAACTTGCAAGTTAAAAGTTTTCCATTAATAAAATGTATTTTTAAAATTTAAATAGATTTCGGTTTCGGTTAACAAGTATACATACCTGTAAATGACAACAATACAACTCAAAGTTTGCCCAGTAAAAATCAATAATTCCACCGTCTACACTAACATCAAGTGAAAATAGCAATGATAAATTTTTGAGGCTTTTATCTGGACCACAATGAGAAACTAGTTTTCGTGCATACATGTAAGGCATGATAACCTTGTAATAATCACCTAATGGGTATAGCATTAGAATACCTTGAGATTCCAAGTACTCCCATGTATTGTCAATAGTACATACGGTCTATACGACTAACACAAGATTGCAACATGATGGCGACTAAAATTTCTTTTGCAAGTAACGATGGTATTGCACTCACGTTGATTTTCTGGCGGGCACACTTAGCTGCTTGTACGTAATCAATATCTGATAGTGATATACCTTTAGATATGCTATTTGAAATATACTCTAATAATGCTTCAATCCCACGTGGTAACATGATTTCATAAGCAATGGCTCGTAAAAGAAGGGAAGTTAGCCACCAACTCCTTGTTAATTCTAGCTGCTCAAAAAGAGAATTTATATCGATTGGTAATAAAAGAGGGGTGTGCAAAATTATATGCCGATATGAAAAACTATTTGTTACTTCTGACAATGGTGTAAGTACAGTTCCTGCAAGGTGGCAAATTATAAAAATGTTGCTAATGCTAAATTCACAAAGCATTGCGTCACCAAGAGCTAAAATCACTTCTTTAAGATATTGTCTTTTCTCTTGATCATTATTGCCTTTACAAAATGGAGATCCAACTAGCCTTTGAAATTCATCAGGTGCTATATATATAAGCAGCAATAATGTTAATGGCCATTGAGACATTTAATTTTTGCTTTAAATGTTCCTCTTCAAATTCATAAATCATTCGATCAATGAAATCATCAAGGGATGAACTCAGAGCAAAATAACGGTGAGGAATTCTTAATCCGATTGCAGAATTTGACCCAAAGTTTTTTCAATGTTTCGAGGATTAAAATTTTCGTTATACGTCATAAAGATCTGTACAGGATCATCCAGTAAACGAGCTAGATTTTGTATTTCGTTTGATATTTCAATAGCTGCAAAGTCTGGAAAACAACTACGTATCATCGGTATTGTCTCGATAAGATTGCGTGTTTTTCCAGTTCCGGGCGCGCCAGCTAAGTAATATTCATTTTTTAGTTCACATATGCTAATATAATAATATAATAATAAAGTAATTAATTACTCACCTGAAATAAATATAGGACATTCGTTCCGATCGCCACCTTTACAGGCAGCTTTAAACTGAGAGATAAAACTTTCCGTGAGGCATGTCGCAGTAGTTATTCTTCCTATATAAAAACTCATGAGAGAAGTTGATCATTTCCTTTGAATACAAATATACTTACCAACAAGTGGAAAATTATGGCCGAATGTGGTGATGCTTACCAGTCTAACTGGTGACTTTTCGAAATTAACTTGAAGGAATTTCAAAATTGGCACCGTTCTTACTCTAAAAGAGAGTCAGAAATAAATTAATAAATGGAATAAAGTAATTTATAAGATTAACTTAATGGCTCTGAAGAACTGCTTTGATGAGAAAAAAATTTGCCTTTTTAGTTTTGCTGCAAAAAAGAATCAATTTATTAGATCAAAAATAATATTTTTGCTTGAAAGTAAACATCAAGAGATATTACCATTTGGGAATAGCTGCACGATTATATTTATATGATCATTTATTGTATCATAATCTGATTCAAAAAAATAATCTCCAACGCCTGCGGATGGAGACATTTCATGCCTCCTTTGATGTCCTCAGTTTTTATTGTAGTTCCTAGGTCTTTGCCTCTTGTTGGGATATCTACATGCCATAGAATTAAATCTTCTTCGTTAATAGTGGCAAACCGTTTTTTGTCATTAATTAAAAGCTTACGAATTTCAGAGACTCTCATATCTCTATTGATGTCAATCATATAAGCTCTTCTAATAGGATCTTCTAAATCAAGGCAAAATATCATCATGTTGACGTTTCTGCAATCGTCATTAAAATTGGGGTAAACCGTCAAAATTTTTAAACTAACGACTTACGGCAACTGATAAGTACTTTTTTTTTTTAATGTTAGTATCTAGAATTGTTAACAAAAAAGTATAAGTGAATTTATAGATTTTTTTTTTAAAAGAAAAAAACCAAATCTCAGCTCTCGACCAGTGTTATAAATTCAAAAATTTTTATTGGCGCAAATGCAAAAAAAAAATATGCACAAAGAAAAATTTATACGCGCGTTATATATACATGGAGCACTGATATATGTGCAAATTTAAATCTATGTGCGCTGCGCCTACTGCGCCGATCCAATTTACATCTCTGCCACAAACTTTCATGTGATTTGATGTAAATCAAATACCGGTAACTTTATATGATTTATATGATTTAAAGTTTTTTTTTTTCGAGAATGTGAATTATTTTACTAACAAAATCACATAAAAATCATTTATAGCTTTGAAAGAAGGTCTACATTTGCCATACAAACAGTAACCCATTAGAAGTGAAGATTTCGTTATTTATAATTCGTAACGATATTAATGGCATTTAGTAATTAATTAGACGAAATATTCACATATTAACCCCCATTTAGCACAACGTTTCTCAAAAGACTAGATAAAAGGATTTTTTGATTTATTAGCATATCTTAATGAATCATATATTTATTACATCGCGTTCGTATCCAAGATACAGATTTTATAAATGTGTCGCTTATTCAAATGAAAT